TATTAGTACATGACCTAAATAAAAGTACACAGTATAGTAGTAAATGATCTCAGTAAAAGTACACAGTATACTGAATGTTTTTTTTTTGTCCCCATTTACTTTTATTTATACAGGTAGTCTCATTGAGCCACGAGAACTCATTTTCAAGAGAGACCTGTTTAGGGAGCAGATGGGGGGTTAAGGGCCTTGCTCATGGGCCCAGGGTGGGGTGAATGAGGGTGGGAGCAGGTGTGGGTGCTTCACCTACCCCACCCACATTTTTGATGTTGTCGGTACAGGGTCTTGAACCGGCAAGCTTCTGATCACAGGCCCACCTTCTCTAACCTCTGCACCACCACTCCCCCATGAATACATGACCTCAGTAAAAGTACACAGTATACAGAGTACATGACCTCAGTAAAAGTACACTATACAGGACCTCAGTAAAAGTACACAGTGTACATGACTTCAGTAAAAGTACACAGTATAGGAGTGCATGACTTCAGTAAAAGTACACAGTATTCTGTTTAAATGGCCTCGGTAAAAGTACACAGTATATTGTGTACATGACCATGGTAGAAGAACACAGTATACTGTGTACATGACCGCTGTAAAAGTACACAGTGTGTATATGACCTCAGTAAAAGTACACGGTGTGTATATGACCTCAGTAAAAGTACACGGTGTGTATATGACCTCAGTAAAAGTACACAGTATATTGTACAGTAGACTGTGTACACAGTATAGTGTACATAACCTTAGTAAAAATACACAGTACAGTGTGTATATGACCGCAGTAAAAGTACACAGTATATTGTGTACAGAACCTCAGTAGACCTATACAGTAGAGCGTGTACATAATCCTTAGTAAAAATACACAGTATGGTGTGATAGTGTGTACATGACCTTAGTAAAAAGTACAGTGTAGTGTGCATATATTTGAAAACAAACAAAAACAAAACAAACAAACAAAAAACCCAGGAAGTCAGTTGCAGAGTATAATTAGTTTTTTCTATTTAATTTGCCAGACTGACAGATTTCTCTCTTGAAATGATCGTTTCATTCAATGGGATTATATTTACAGGATTTCAGCTCATGCAGTCATTTAATATTTTTCATATTTGATCATTCACTGAATTGCATTTT